GGATTTCTTTAGGACATGAGAGGGCAGCACTGTCAGAGAAAATGCTAGATGTTCACTACGAAGGTGACAATAACTCCATGTTTTTTTCTTTCTTAAAAAATATTTACTTTTATTTTGTGTGTATGGGTGTTCTGCCTCGCACGTGCGTCTGTGTACTGCTTGTGTGCATTGCCCACGGAGGAGCAGAGGGTGTCAGACTCCTGGAATTGGAGTTACAGGCTGTGGTAAGGCACCATGGGGGTGCTGGGAATGGAATCCAGGTCCTGTCATCTGGAAGGGCAGCCAGTGCTCTCTAACCTCGAGCATCTCTCGGGCCCTTAGCCACGCACTCTCTTCAAACTCTGCACCTCAAGTCCAGCACTAACGGTTCAATCCTGGGCACAGCACTAACGATTCAAGCCTGGGCACAGAGGCTGTGCAGGGCTTTATTATCTACTACATACGTTAAATGCTCGCTGAGTCAACAGCAGTCTGGTGGGTGCCGAGAACATGGCTGTCTTGAGAATGATGCTAAACTTCAGAAAGAGACAAGGGCTGAGCAGGTAGTCACCCAGGGGGACATAAGAGGGCACTTTGTATGTAGAGAACTAAATAATAATTACAATCAAGCCAGCCTTGGCCTGCCCCTTATTACCCCCATGGGCCTGTGCTCTACAGAGTGTCAGAGATGAAGTTTCCCCCCTCCCTCTGGGCCTGACCTTTCTCACTGTTGGACCTTGCTGGCCCTCCCACCAACTGCAAATGTTGTTAGGCAGGACCCATTCCTGTAACCCCACCCCCACCCTACCAGTCCCAGCCATCTGCTGGCACATGGTAAATGCTCAAGAGATGTTTTAGCTTTCAGCTTTATAAATTTTATATGCCCGGGCAAACTGTATAATCGGATGTTATACAGAAAAGAGCTGCAGTTTAAAGTCAAGAGAGAGAGACAGTGGTGGTGGTGGTGGTGGTGGTGGTGGTGGTGGTGGTGGTGCAACAACAGGTAGATCTGGGACAGGTCCTGACTCCCTCACTGTCTTGTCTTGGGTACGGCCCTAGAACCTGTGCCTGCATTTGAGGTCCTGTAGGAATGACAGTGAGAAACTAAGACACGCAGTAATGTATGGATAACCCAGCGCAGATGCATGGGGAGATGACCAGCATGCCTAGCCTCAGGTCTGCCCAGGACACAGGGTAGAGGAGGCAGTCACATGTGCAGGCTTTAACCCAGGAAGAAAACGTCCACAGTGGTCAAGCACAAAGCTAGGCTGTGGGTCTTATCTAGAGCACCCTCTGAATCACAGCGTTGCCACACATTGGCCTGGTAACCAGAGGATGATGGGATGATACTTTATAGGGACATGGTGAGTATCAAAGGACTTCAGTTCACTCTGTAAATATTTATCATGTGACTAATCCATGCTTTGTGTGGTCCCAATCAGTCAGGCAAGAAGTGTTAATTCCTAGTGGCTGAATGCCAGCATTAAAAGGACAAATGATGGGGGCTGGAAAGATGGCTCGGCGGTTAAGAGCACTGACTGCTCTTCCAGAGGATCTGAGTTCAATTCCCAGCAACCACACGGTAGCCCATAAGCATCTATAGTGAGATCTGGTGCCCTCTTCTGGCCTGCAGGTGTACATACAGCTAGAGCACTCATAAATAAATCATAAATAAGACAGACAAACGATGCCTCATAGAGAAGCTTGGGAGGGCAGTGTCCTGTCGTACAGTGGCACCCCAGTTGGTGAGTCTCTAGGGTGCAGAAGTGGTTTCTGTCCCTGAAGATAAAGAGGGAATTTAGCTTAGAAGTACTCAGCCGAGTGTTTGTCTACGAAGTACAGTGTACAATCTCCAGCACTGCAGAGTGACAGTTCCCACCTGCAACCCCAGCACCTTCGAGGTGGAGGTGGGACCAGAAGTTCACGGTTATCTCCCATTATAAATGACCTTATTCTTACCGAGCCTCAAACGTGTGCAACGGAAGGAGAGGACCGGTGGGGAGGAACTTGCAGTCTGGGGCAGAGTCCACGGTGGCAGGTGTGAATGATGCAGCCTATGTTGCAGGGTGACAGGCACCATCTCTGAGATGCCCAGGCCCACGAGCATGTCCTACTCCTGTTTCAAGGCTGACTCTGGGGGTGACCAGAACTATCAAGGGAAAATGTTAAAGCACAGGATAGAGGGAGGAGCCAGAGCAAGACACAAGCGAGCCACCGAAGCCGGGAGTGGCTAAGACAGATGTTGAACCGAGCCACATGGTACAGAGCTGGTTCAGCTCTGGAGTGTGCAGAGCCTGGGCACCGACTGAGACAGGGAAACAAAACAGTGGCCCAGGCTCCCTAACCACAGCTGTTCTGAATTACGATGCCACCACTCAGGTGAGAACTGGGCTGAGAGTTCTCATCTATTGGACTAAGAGCCAGGGAAGTAGGCATGGTTCTGGGAGACCTGTGCATGAGGCCACAGTCACAGCCACTGAGCTGGGGTCCCCCTGAATAAGACTTCATGCTAGAGTTAGGATCACGACCAGGGCAAGTCAAATGAGGTGGCATTTGAAGAACCCCAAGGTTGGGGCTCTGACCTCTGAGTTCAGTCAACAAAGCAACCAGGGAAGGGCTGGTCACCCACTATGACCCAACATCTGAGGACAAGATGAGCAGGTCTTCCTAGATTTTAGGAAGCTCTAGTGTGATCCCCACTGAGGGATCCTCCCAACTGCACCACACAGTGGTCACACCCACACTCTGTTTCCGTCTCCAGCCACGAAGGCTTCCTACTGTATTCTTCATGAGTACCCGAAAGGATCTCATTTGTTCCCTGTCTGCTGGATGTTGAATACCAGCCCCTGGAAAGCTCAGCCCTGAACACTTCACAGTCCGCTCTCGGCACTCACCCAGCACTGCACACTGCCCAACCCTGCTACGTCCACCTAGGACACAGACTGAAATATTACAGATGCTTGTGTTGTACCGAGAGACCCAGCTTCAATGGAAGGACACAGAGCCAGAGGGGCCCAGAGCCCAAGTGGGGGTGGAAGGGTCCGGGTAAGCACAAATGGCTGTAGGTTTGCTAAATGCTTCAGGCTCAGAAGGATCTTTCCAGAAAACGAGTGCACCTGAGAGAGCAGGATAATGGTGGCTGTCTGGAGACTGCATGATGGGGTCTGGGTGCCAAAGGTTAACGCTGACAACCTGGTACCAGGGGACTTGTGTGATAACAGGAGGCAGGGCCTGTCAAGGGGTCTTGACACAGCTGATGAGCGGGACTTTATTCTTCCAGTTAGGAAAACTTTTAGGAGTTCCTAAGCAAGGGATGTGATTGGATTAGATCCTTCATTTATATATTAAGCTGATGCAGGAGAGACTAGAGAAGGGAAGGGGTTCAGGGAGCAGAGAGACCAGGGAAAGCCTTGTCTGACTGAGAGGTGCCGTGTGACCTGGGCTGAGGCAGGGATTTTGGGTCTGGGGAGGCACGGGGGCGTGAAGATCAGGGAGAAGCCATGGAGCATAATCTCCTATAGATAAAACTAGCACAGACAAAAGGTTCGGTATCTGGGAGGACTTTGGCCGTCTGAGCACTCAGGAGAACAGTCTGACAGTAGACTATTTGTTTCATGATTTAACCAGCAGATGCAAGATAAAGAAAGAGCGATGGATACTGTCTCTCAGAAAGACAGTGGATACCTGCTTCAGTCACCCATCCATCCCACAGAGAGGGAAACCCAGGTGAGGCCACTCGTGGGCCTACAGTCATCTCTGCTCTCCGTATATCTCTGGGGTTATATCTGCGTGCTCCATAGGAAGCTGCCCCTGGATCCTGCTCTAAAGAAACAGAGAAGGCCAGAGGACAGGTGGGGGCAGGAGTAGGCAAGGCATTCTTAGGGCCTTGTGGTGAAACTCACCTCTCTTCCACCTAACTCATTCCCAACCCCAAACCAGGCTTCCCGAAAGTACATGACAGGATAGACTTAGGGAATGAAGATTTTCTTTAAACACAACAATCAAGGTGGCACCCGATGCTGCAGGGATATGTATTACTTGCTTGCTCTTTTCTTTCTTTCTTTTTCTTTCTTTT